GAGGGGGAGCCGAAACTGAGAGGATTTGGTTTGGGAGCTCAAGCTGCGTCACTGGGAGGGTGACAGGGCCTGTTCCAGACAGAGAGGCCACAAGGGGAGGAGCTGACAAGTATGGTTTTTGGAACCTGGTGATTGTGACACCCACCTAGCCAGCGCCACGGGCAGATGGAGAAGGTGCCCCAGCTCTGGGACTGGAAAGCGTCATACAGAAGTCACTGTCAGTGAAAGAGCAGGCCTGGGGACAGGGTCCCAGGGTCACCAGGTCCTCACCCCCGCCTCCTGCTACAGGCCAGCCTTCCCCTGCTCTGTACAGTGACCCGGACTTCAGGCCCCCAAGGCCACCTCCCCCTGCAGCCAAGCAGGGCACACCAACCCATCTGAGATCTCAGGTCTGGCATCCATCCCCACCGACCTCCAGCTCCCCCTCCAGTCCAGCTCAGGCCCTTGTCATCTCCCCAACCCCTGGCGACTCAGTTCCTCCTGCCACCTGCCACGCTGCTTCCTCCAACACTGACACTCCAGGCCAGCAAGCTCTCAGAAAGGGAAGTCAAAGCTTGTGCCTCCCCCGCTTTCAAACTCCCAGCAGTTTCCCTCCCCCGGGGTGACCCTTAGGGAAGCGACAGGCCTTCCCTGAGCCCCCGTCTGCAACAAGACTGCCTCCCCTCTCCCCTCCGCTGCTCTCTTGCCTCGCCAGCTGCACTTCACTGCCCACCTGCGATCGATTCGTTTCCTGGTTCGGTGTCTGCTGGCAGGGCCTGCCTTGTGCTCTGCTTGTGCCCCGGGTCTGGCACATGCAGCAAATGCTCGCCGAAGAGAGTGAATGAAAGAAAGAGGCTTTGTTTCCTGCAGCCTCTCAGTGCACAGCCCCTGCCCTGGTGGATCTTGACCTTTGCTGGTGGAGAAAGCACGTATAATAAGCACCAGTAAGGGAAGCCAGGGAACGTTTACCGGTGCCTCCCGAGTGTGGACAACCGCATTCTAACAGCTGTGAGGGGTGCCCCGTTGAATTCGGGAAGGAAGCCACAGTTGCCAAACCTTCCACCCACCAGGCCCCCGACTATTAGCGTTTGTCATCTTGTTGTATGGCCACTTAATTTCACATGGTCCTGGAGGAGTAAGTCATGGTATCGCCACTTAATAGACAAGGAACCTGATCGAAGAGTCTGATAGTTTGCCCAAGGACACCAGGCTGGGGGTCCGAGCCATGACTGGAACCCAGAGCTTTCTCTTGCCAGGGCCTCTGTACGTTCCTTAAGCCTCAGTAGGAGGGGGTGAGGTCAGGAACAGGACTCCGAGAACAGATGCGAGGTGCTATCCGGGGCACAGAGCAAAGAGTGAGTTTCTGTACTTATTATCGTGTAAGTTTTCGTTCTGCAATAATTTCAGACTGGCAAACAGAGCACACAGGGTTCCCGCATACCTCTCATCTGGCTCCCCTGAATGTTACATCTTCCACGACCACAGACAGCACAACCAGGATGCTAACGTCCATATAAACTCTGAACTACTCTCCTTACTGAAGTTTTTCCAATTGTCCCACTAACATTCCTCTTCTGGCCTAGAATCCAATCCGGGATATTCATGTTGTCTCACCCAGTCCCCTCCCCTTGGGCAGATCCGTTGTGCCAACTCTGTTATTACAACAGCACAGCGCAGAGAACCAGCAACCCCCCCCCGCCCCCCCGTGGCTCCCTCCCTCCCTCCGGGGACTTGTACACTTCCCGCCTGTCCATTTCTTGGTAAGCCCTCCCCACATTCTGGCACAGCGCGCTGCCTTCGCTTCTTGGAAATGTCACCTCCACAGTGGCCTTCCTTGATGTCACCATTCCCTGTTCTGTTGCCCAGTTTTATTATTTTTTTCTTCAGTTTTATTATGTCATCTCGACTTGACAGTAGTATTTGTTATCCTGTCTGCCCCACGAGCACTGGAGGCGGCGACTGCCTAACTCCCTGTACTCTGTGCCCAAAGCGGAGCCAGACCTCGCTAAATCCTGGTGAACAGGTCAAAGTGAGAAGACCTGGAACCGATCTGAAAACGGAACAGAAAGAGGAGGCCTAAGGAAACTGGGCACAAAGACACAGAAAGCCTGGCACAACCTTGCCATCGGGTGTCCGGATGCCCAACGCATACGGGCACGCGGGCACCCAGGCAGGGACCGCAATGCTTAGATGAAATCACGGAAACCTGCTCATTTTTGGCTGACTTGTTTGTAGACAAATCAGCCAGCTCTTGCCAAGAGGCCTGAAGAGCGGCTGCCCCTGCCTCCTGCCCCCCCAACAACACAACAAACCTCCGTAGGGATTTAGGACCCACCGTCTACCCCAACCCTGCACCTCAACTTCTCTGTCTCAGTCCAATCACCTAGAATTCCTGCCCCTTTTCTGACTGACTTGCTGCACAGCCCTAAACATCGACACAGGAGGTGTTTGTAAGGGTCCCCCCAGCCCCCCAGCCTAGTCTCCTCTTCCCTTCTGAGAGGCTGGGGCGTGAGACAGCTCGAGGAGGCTCATGCTGAGCTGCTCACATTATTGGCAAAGCCCGGTGTAAAATGGAATTTGGAGCCTCTTGTTCAAAGGAAAAGAAAGTTTTTCCTTTCTTCTATGATTTCTCTTTTGACTTGTCCTGATGTTTCTTTTTTTCTTTTTTTTCTTTTTTAGAGATTTTATTTATTCATGAGAGACAGAGAAAGAGGTGGAGACATGGGCAGAGGGAGAAGCAGGCCCCTGCGGGGAGCCCGATGCAGGACTGGATCCCGATCCCAGGATCATGCCCTAGGCTGAAGGCAGACCCTCGCCTGCTGAGCCACCCAGGTGCCCCTTAAGTAGCAAATTATTATTTTTTTAAGATTTTTATTTTATTATTTTAATTTTTTATTTATTTATGATAGTCACAGAGAAAGAGAGAGAGAGAGAGAGAGAGAGGCAGAGACACAGGCAGAGGGAGAAGCAGGCTCCATGCACCAGGAGCCCGAAGTGGGATTCGATCCTGGGTCTCCAGGATCGCGCCCTGAGCCAAAGGCAGGCTCTAAACCGCTGCGCCACCCAGGGATCCCTAAGTAGCAAATTAAAAACATCAGGCCTGGGGCACCTGGGTGGTTCAGTGGTTGAGCATCCCACATCGGGCTCCCTGCAGGGAGCCTGCCTCTCCCTCTGCCTCTGTCTCTGCCTCTCTCTCTCTCTCTCTGTGTCTCTCATGAATAAATAAATAAATCTTTAAAAAAAAATAATTTGCTACTTGACATCCCCCTAAGTAAAGAAAAATTAAAAATCTAAACCATTAGCACATATTTTGCCTTTTGCTTTTTTACTGTACAATCCCAGTTTTTGTTTTTGTGGGTGAGAAGGAGGGAGAGAGAGAGAGAGAATCCCCAAGCAGGCTCCACTCACAGCACAGAGCCCACACGGGGCTCGATCCCACCACCCTGAGATCATGACCTGAGCTGAAACCAAGAGTCTGAGGCCCCTGACTGAGCCACCCGGGAGCCCCTGTACAATCCCAGTTTCAAATGCAAATATAACATGTGACATTTAAGTCACACGTGAAATCACCAGAACTATAATTCACATTTCCCAGCTCGTACACGGATAGTATTTTGATCTCACCGGAGCAGTGGAAATGCCGCACACTACGGAATTACCTGTTTCTATTTCCCTTCTGGTTCGCGCACATTCCGCCAACCCTGTCTGCCTTCAGCTTACTGATGAACCAGGGGGGACCAAAGGGTCGGGACAGATGGCTTACCCTCCCTTGCCTCCTGTGGCATCGTCTGCTGCAAAGTCGGATCACACGGGGACGTGACACAAGGAAGAAGGACGGGGCAGGGTTTCTCGGTCGCTTGTGTTTCTTAGAACACCACCATCTTCTCCCTGCATTTGAAGCAAGTTCTGGTCGGCCAGGCCAGGCAGCGAGCCCCCTCGCTCAGTCATGAGTCATGGACGTATTCGCACCTTGCGACCACTTTGAGTCTCGCATCCCCAGCATGGTGGGGCCACCAGCATCCTGTGTGCGGGGGCAGCTTGAATGTGGCAGGTGTGGGGCCACCCGGGACAGAGCGTGCAGGTGTGGGGGTCTCCTCCGCCCAGCGTATGTTCCGTTGTCCTATCACACTTCACTTACAGGACGCAAACTCAAAGGTAAAAGCGTTAAGAATTCCACGAAGGTGACAGTGGAGCATTGAGCCAAGCGTGGGCCCCCCGTGACTGTGCCGGTCGCATGGCTGGGAGGCTCGCCCTGCAGGCCAGCATCCCGTGTTTGGAGGACTCTGTTGGTCACAAGTCCCCTCTGTGTCTTGTGCCACCGTTCCACTTTTTCTGTAGGTAGCCTGGGATGGCCTCACATGGTGGCGGGAAGACAGAAGGAGTGTGCTCAAGCCATCCATCCCGCCTCACCTCTCCCTGCTTCCTCCACCAACCGGCCAGAGAGAACTTTCTAGAGTTTCCCCGAACAAGCCCTTCCATCTGCTGCCTCTGGGCCTGTTGTTTCCTCTGCCCCCAGAGGCTCTCCAACTTTGGTCCCTGGGCCAGCCCCAGCCAGCATCCCGCGGAGCTTGTTAGAAATGCACGTTCCCAGGCCCCACCCCAGACCTGCCGAATGGGGGAGGCTGGGGATGGGACAAAGAATCAGGTCCAGCAGCTGCCTGGCGCCATGTGATGCCCACTGCTCTTTGGAAATACGTTTTCCACCTGTGTCAGCTTCTTAACTGCTACACCCTCGTTGTGGAATAAAGGCCTCCGCCTCCGAGTCCCTTCCGCGAATCCCTCAGTTCACCTGTCCTCGGATGGGCCTGGGGCTTAGGGTGCATCTGTCCCATTTGTCCATCTTGGCCTGGGGACCGAGCAGGGCAAACTGTAGGCGCATAATAAGTGACGGTAGAGATGCGCTGCCTCGGGGGTGGCCACGGGAGTGGAGCTGTGCGGCCCGGGCATCGCGAGGGCCACCTCGCGGAGAGGCCAGGGCCCGGGCCCGGGGTGGGGCTGAGCGCCGGTGTCCCACCCCACAGGTACAGCCTGTACACCCGCACCTGGCTCGGGTACCTCTTCTACCGCCAGCAGCTGCGCAGGGCTCGGAATCGCTACCCCAAAGGCCACTCCAGAACCCAGGCCCGCCTCTTCAACGGTGAGCTCCGGCCGCCCCGGGCCCGCACCGCCCCCCGCCTGCGCCCCATCACGTCCCGTCACCCACCCCCCATTTGCCCCCCCACTGCCGCTGGGCTCCCTGCCCATCAGCCTGCCCACAGCCCATCTCTGTCCCCCAGGAGTGAAGGTGCTTCCCATCCCCGTCCTCTCAGACAACTACAGCTACCTCATCATCGACACCCAGGCCCGGCTGGCTGTGGCTGTGGACCCCTCCGACCCTCAGGCCGTGCAGGTGAGGGGAGGGGGGGGCAGGGCTACCTGGGGCCACCTGGGGCCACCTGGGCGGCTGGCAGCTTTCCCTCCCTGGTCCCTCTGCCAGTGGGACGTGCCTGCACACACAGGCCCCACCGTGCAAGTACACACAGGGACCCCCACAACCACCCAGGGCAGGGCTGGGCGGGGGAGGACAGCCGTGGGGGAACCCTAGGGAGAGGGATGCTCACTCAGGACCCTGGTCTGGGGTTTCTTCTGTCTCTCACTCTCTGTGGCCCCTTTCTGACCCTCTTCTCTCATCTGTGTCAGTCGGTCTCTGGGTCTCTCCATCTCTCCTTCCCACTTCTTATTTCCCTGTGTGCGTGAGTACCTGGGTGTTCCCTGCCCCTCGGTCTCCCTCCCCGCACCTCCCCATCCTCTCCCCTGTGCTCTGGCTCAGCCTCAGCTGCCCGCATCCTCCCAGCCCTCTCGTCCCTACCCCCTCATCCTCTAGCTGCGTCACTTCCCTGGTCCTCCTCCTCCCCGCTCTCCCCCTCTTCACCCAGCACCTGTGCCCCTCGCTGCCCACTACCCAGTCTCAGCACCTCCTCTCTCTCCCAGGCTTCCATCGAAAAGGAGGGTGTTAATTTGGTTGCCATCCTCTGCACCCACAAGCACTGGTAAGGGGCTGGGATGGGGGGCTGGGGGACAGATGAGCTTCTCTGGCCGTCCCTGGCCCCAGTGGGCTTGGCAGGATGAGGCCCAGTGAGGACAGGCCGGGCTGGGGGGCGGGGAGTCAGGATGCCAGGGCACCCGCCTTCTTCATAAAGTCATAGGGGCACCAGCAGAGGAGGGAAGGGGCGAGGCTCCCCCCATGGCACTTATCAGGCCCCTGAAGCCCTGGAGGAAGGCAGGGCGGGCATTTATCTTTCATTCCTTGGGCACGTATCAGATGCCCACTGTGCTCGGGACATGAGCAAACCCTGTGAGTTCTTTCCCCAAGGAGAGTATAGTCCAATAGGGGAGACAGCCCTGCACTCCAGTGTACGAGAACCAACGTTTAGGTAGCAGTTGGCACAAGGGATGGGAGGTGGGGGGCACTTGGTGAAGTGTGACCAGATCCTCTTGGGAGAATTAGAGGTCAGTGACCCTGGGGCTGAGAGAGTCCAGGGCAGGGGGGCAAGTCGTGGGGATGAGCAGGGCAGCAGCTTGGACAGAGGCCTAGAGGTGTGGATGGCTTGGCTCAGTTCAGAAGCCCGGGGCTCAGGACTCAAAGGTCTGGAGACCCGGAGAGAGGAAGGCAAGGGGGCCTCCCAAGTCCCTTTGTCCCTCAAAGTCCCTGCCTGTCTCTGCCATCCTCCAGGGACCACAGTGGAGGGAACCGTGACCTCAGCCGGCGGCACCAGGACTGTCGGGTGTATGGGAGCCCTCAGGACGGCATCCCCTACCTCACCCAGTAAGGCCCTGACCCGGGGTGGGTGGCTCCTCTGTGAGCCCTTTGCCACACCCATCCTTCAGCTGAGTCTTGCAGGACCACCAGCAGCTGGATCTGTGCTTGTGCCCTTCCTGCCCCTTCCTTAGAGGGCAGATCACAGCCCGTCTGAAGACTGGCACTGTCTGCCCCCCAACTCATCCAGCCATGGTCCCCAAAATGGGGAGAGGCCAGGTTTTGGATCTGAAGCCCTGGGGACTGTGAGTGCCTCCCCTCTCTAGTCTGGAAGCCCTGCCTCCTTCAAATCACCCAGCCCCTTGAGGCCTAGGGTAGGGCAAGGATTAGCACAGCCCAAGATCTAGCACCTTCTCTCCTCTACTGCCTTGCTTCTCAGTCCCCTGTGTCATCAAGATGTGGTTAGCGTGGGACGGCTTCAGATCCGGGCTCTGGCCACCCCTGGCCACACGCAAGGCCATCTGGTCTACCTGCTGGATGGGGAGCCCTACAAGGGTCCCTCCTGCCTCTTCTCAGGGGACCTGCTCTTCCTCTCTGGCTGTGGTGAGTCCTGCCCCCCCACCAAAGGGAAGCAGGAGGAGGGGGGCAGGAAGGAGGGGGAGAGGTCACAGCAGAGACCCGAGGATGGCCACAGCCCCATGCAGCACATGAAAACTTTGCTGTTGGCACAAACACTGCCTCGCTTTTACTCCATCTGTGTCAGCCCATTGTTTTAATACCCTCGCGACTTCGCACGGGGGATGCACAGAATGAGACAATGCTTGGAACTGGGTATAGACCTTGCAGAGTGTTGGTTTCCACTGGGTGGAGCCTAGTTCTCTGGCACAGTAACTGGAGAGACTAGGTCACAAAAGGTGGAGAACCCTCGAATGAGAGGGTGACCCGTGGGCAGGGGAGGATCACAATCCCAGGCCGTATGAGTCTCAGAGGGCAGCGCAGGCAAAGAAGTGCGCATTGGAAAAGAGCAACCACCCACCAACTATGCGTGGGGCCCCTGGCACTCAGCCTGAAGCTCCTGTCCCCTCTCCATCCACGTGTCAGTATTTGTGATGGAGGCCTTGGCTGGGGGGTGAATACGTGGCTCACCTGCCATGGGAAGGAGGACGGAGAACCTGGGGGTGGGTATGGCGGGGGCACGGTTGAGGGCCGGTGGCCGGCCCCAGCTGTCCTCACCCCCTCTGCTACCAATCTGTGTTCTCCTTGTACCTGTGACATGCCCGCTGACCCTCCCCAGGACGGACCTTTGAGGGTACCGCAGAGACCATGCTGAGCTCCCTGGACACGGTGCTGGGGCTGGAGGATGACACTCTGCTGTGGCCTGGTGAGGTGCCCCTCCCACTCCCCCCTCACTCCCCTGCAGTCCTGGCCGCCCCAGCCTCTGGCCCAGAGGCCACACAACCCCACCTCTGGTGGCTCCTGGGAGCCAACTCTAGCAGTGAGCGCAGAGCCCCCTTCATTCCAGAGTGCTGGCTCCGAATGCCTCTGCTTCTCATGCCAACTGCCCCTGACAGCCAGCCCTCGGCCTCTTGGGAGCTTTGTTGGTCCCGGTGCATCCCAGAGAGATGGCTGAGATTTTAGAGCCAAAGCCGACAACAGAAAATAGCCTTTGCTTATCAGAGAAGTCAGTATCTCTCCATGTATCACCCGCATGCACCCGTACCACACATTACGTAGGCGCCCCTCCCCATGCATGTACGTGGCATATCCATGCATCCGTCCTTCCAGACTCTGCATGTCCCTACGTACATACACGAGCATTGGGATATCCATAGTTCCTAAAACACATCACTAAGATGTTAGGTAATCCTCAAAACATATGTATATACACATATATATATATTAAGATTTATTTATTTATTCATGAGAGACACAGAGAGAGAGGCAGAGACATAGGCAGAGGGAGAAGCAGGCTCCCTGTGGGGAACCTGATGCAGGACTCGGTCCCAGGACCCCGGGATCATGCCCTGAGCCAAAGCCAGATGCTCAACCACTGAGCCGCCCAGGTGCCCCCTCAAAGCATATATTTATCCACCCATTCATTTGATCATACTTGATTAAACACCTGACGCTTACCAGGCTCTGTTCTAGGCACCAGGGACACGTCTGTGTTCTAGTAGCATTATTTTCTCCAGATGACAAAACTGCGGCCCAGAGAGGTTCCACGACTCGGCCAAGGCTGCACAGCCAGGCAGGGGCAGAGTCAGGACTAAGACTGCAGGGCTGTCTGGCTCCAGGTCCGGTGGTTTTACCCCTGAACTGCTTCTGCCCCTCCACTCGGGGCTGACCTGTGCCCACGTTTAGAGAAGCAGCTCTGTGGGGTTGGGCCTTTCCTGGAAGTGCCCCCCCTCCCCCTGGCTGTCGGGTACCCAGAGGCCTGGGGCAGGGAGGACTTTTCCTGACAGCACCTCCCCTCTCTCTGTGTCCTGCATCTTGCCCGCCACCCCCCACCCCTGGTGGCCCTTAGGTCATGAGTACGCGGAAGAGAACCTGGGCTTTGCGGGTGTGGTGGAGCCCGAGAACCTGGCCCGGGAGAGGAAGATGCAGTGGGTCCAGAGGCAGCGAATGGAGCGCAAGAGCACGGTGCGGGGCCAGGGCCGGGGTCCAGGCGGGCCCCCAGGGTGCTTCCCCAGTAGGGACACCAACCGGCTGAGCTGTGGCCTGCAAGCCCCTCCCCAGAGCCCCCACATGTTTGGTCACAGGCCTTGGAGTGAGGCCCTCTGGACCCTGAGACAGGGGAGGGGGTGCAGTGGGGGGCTTCCCCGATGGGATCTGTTTTCCAGATTCTCTCCATCAAACCCGCTAATCCTGGTACCTCTCGTCCCCCAGTGCCCGTCCACCCTGGGAGAGGAGCGCTCCTACAACCCATTCCTGAGGACCCACTGCCTGGTGCTGCAGGAGGCTCTGGGGCCAGGCCCGGGCCCCACTGGGGACGACGGCTACTCCCGGGCCCAGCTCCTGGAGAAGCTCCGGCAGCTGAAAGACCTGCACAAGAGCAAGTGACGGCCCCTCCCGGCGCAGCCCACCCCGCACGGCAGGGAGGCCACCTGTCTCATCCCGCACCACACCATCCCTCTCATCACTACCACCATCACCTCCATCAGCGCCCACAGGGGGCATCAGTCCCCAACACTGTCAGAGGGAGGAGGGACAAGGTGACAAGGCCATGAGAGCCAGAGGCTGGAGGCTGGCCGAAGGCATGGAGACCCCACGGGGTGAGGCTGAGGGAAGGGGGAGCCTTGGGACACCTCCAGACCCAGCTGGGAGGGTGCCTCCTCCCCTGTCCTGCTCCTGCCGGTGAGGACATGGAGAGTGCCGGTCACCCCTCCCTCAGGATGCCTCACTCTCCCTGTAGCCCCTGAACCCAGGGCAGCCGGAGCTTCCAACAGGTTGAGTCCCCTTCCCCCTTCTCCCACACAGGGTTGGGAAGCACAGGCCCCCTAAGTGGCCCGAGGTGTGGTGCCTTGGAAAAGTGGTCACTCGGGGAGGTGGCTGGGCTCGGGTGTCCTGAGGCACTGGCCCTCCTCCTCATGCCTCCCTGCCTCCCAAAGGCATTTTTCAAACAGAGACATTTCTGGGAAAGATGAAAGGGCTGGAAGTCTGCATGTCTGGACAGTCTGGGCCTCAGTGCCTCCCCTATGGCCTGGAAGACGGAGGCTCCTGGTTGCCACAGACGGGACCGAGGTGACAGGCTGAGGAGACGCCCGGAGCTGGGACTACAGCCCCATAGGCTCCCTGTGTAGCTGGCCTCTGCCCTTGCCTGGCGCCCAGAGGACTCCCCTTGCCAGGAGAGCGAGAGAGAGAGAGAGCGAGAGAGAGAGAGAGAGAGCTGTCCTCCCCGGCCAGAGCGGTCTTTTCCTGATGGCCCTTGTCCTTAGGAACGTCTGCCTTGTTCTAACTCCTGCTTTATCCTCGGTCCCTCTCCTCTTTTAGTTTATAAAGACATTCATCTGGCCCTCAGCAGTTTGCCAAGAACACCCCATGTCATTTCTTGTTGATCCCGGGCCCCATCCTGGCTGGGGACGGGAGCAGCAAGCTGTCAGCCCTCGAGGGAGCAGCGGCCCCCAGGACCCCAGGCTTGAGCCCTACCCCCAGCTCAGCCTCTCCTCTGGGCTCTGGTCCGGGCCCCCTTGGGGCCACAGAGAGGAAGCCCAAGGTCCTGGAGCGGGCCTACCTGGGGTCAGCCAGGAGCCTTCTCTTCCTGTGTTCAAGCCTCTGGGCCTGTGCCCGCCTCTCGTGAGCCTCCGAGATGCCCCCTGCCCTCAGTTTCCCTCCTCGTCCTGCCTCTGCCTCCCTCTCCAGCCACAGCCTCTGGTACCAGCTCTAGCAATACCGCCAGAATAGAGCTCCCACCCCCCAGACCTGCAGTTTCATGCCGCTGTGCCTTTGCTCATGCTGTCTCTTCAGACTGGAATGCCTTTCCCCTGCTCCTCTGGCCTTGTCTGCCTGGCAAACACCCATTCATTCACCTCTCACAATCCCCCTCAAAGGCCCCCTCCTCCAGGAAGACAACCCCGTGCCCCCCCACCCTCCAGGCTACCTCTGCTCTTTGTAAATGCTTCTCTCGTGGCACTTCTCACACTGTATTTTACTTGTTTACATGTTTGTCTCCCCTTCTAGACTGTGAACCCTTCAGGGCATGGACTGTATCTTATGCATCTCTGTAACTCTGCGCCTAGCACGGTGCCTGGCACGCAGTAGGCGCTCAATAAATCTTGAATGAAGAATTTAGCTGGGGCTCGGTCACTCAGTGAGATCAGCTTTCCTGCCCGTTCCGTCCTCCCGTCTGAGTTACAAGCCTGCTAACTTGGAGTTACTGCCCTGCCGCAGCCTTGGCCAGAGACCGTGCTAGAAATACATCCTCCCGCGGCCTGTGTGCACTCGTTCGGGGTTACGACGAGCTTACCTCAGTGTTTCCCGGAGCTCGAGAGGCACGGGCGCAGCACCGGCCGCAGAGCAGAGGAATAGCACCGGGAAGCCAGGCCTTGGCACCAGCTTCCCTTCAGTGCGTCTCTAACAGAGCCAGACTCCGGGTCCATACCTTAGTCAACTATCTTGAGGTTTTTCGCTTTTTTTTTTTTAAGATTTTATTTATTTATTCATGAGAGACACAGAGAGAGGCAGAGACACAGGCAGTGGGAGAAGCAGGCTCCCTGCGGGGAGCCTGATGCGGGACTCGATCCCAGGACCCTGAGGTCACGACCTGAGCCAAAGGCAGCCGCTCAACCCCTGAGCCACCCAGGCGCCCCAAACTGTCTTGAGTTAAACTTTAACACTGGCTTTGTTTTCATTGTATTTACCTTTGGGGTCAATATTTTTTAAAATGTATTATTTATTTTATTTTTTTTAATTTTTATTTATTTATGATAGTCACAGAGAGAGAGAGGCAGAGACACAGGCAGAGGGAGAAGCAGGCTCCATGCACCGGGAGCCCGATGTGGGATTCGATCCTGGGTCTCCAGGATCGCGCCCTGGGCCAAAGGCAGGCACTAAACCGCTGCGCCACCCAGGGATCCCCCTGCGCCACCCAGGGATCCCCTATTATTTATTTTAGATAGCACAGGTGCATGCAGAGGGGCAGAGAGGGAGGGAGAGGGACAAGCAGACTCCCTGCTGAGCACAGAGCCCGATGACAATGTGGGGCTTGATCCCATCCCCCTGAGATCATGACCTGAACTGAAATCCAATAGTCAGACACTCAACTGACTGAGTCACCCAGATGCCCCTGGAGTCAATGTTTTTGACAAGTGACAGCAGTTTTCTTTTTTTCTTTTTTCAAAGTGATAGCAGTCCTCAATTCATGAAAGTAATTAAAGATGTGTATTGAAATAGGAGTGAAGTAAAGGTGGTACTTGACCATAGCAGAACTCACATTTTTTTAAGATTTATTTATTTATTAAATATTTATTTATTTAGAAAGGGGGGGCACAGAGGGAGAGGGAGAGAGGGGGATCTCAAGCAGTCCCCAAGCTGAGCGCAGAGCCCAAGCTGGGGCTGGATCCCACGACCCTGAGATCACTACGTGAGCCAAACTCAAGAGCCAGCCGCTCAACAGACTGAGCCACCCAAGCGCCCCCGTAGCAGAACTTTTAAAGGTGGCCCTGATATGGCTGAGGGCCAGGCAGCACTGGCTTCACTCCACATTTCCTTGGGACCAGGCCAAGGCGCAGTTCTCCCACCCCTTGGTACAATGGGCGCCCTCACCCCAAGCAAGGGACCTTGGCACTGGTCCCCCGCTATCCCGGATCAGGGCTGTGCTTAGGGTGGGCATGGAGGAAGGGGCTGTGGTCCTCACCTTCCCGAAGAAGAGCAGCTCCCTGTGTCTGTGGTTGTCTCTGGGTCCCTCCTGCCGTGAATGGGCAAGCCCCAGGGCCAGGTCTCCTGGGGTCTACCCAGCTTCAAGAGGCACTTGGTGACAGCTCTCTAGGGCTGGTGGGCATGTTCCTAGGGCCTTTGTGATCCCCCCACTGGGGCATCATCCCAAAGGATAGCACGTGCTTTTTGTGGTGCTGGCACTGACCAGCAACAACCAGGCTCCCAGCCCGTTGCTTACGGGACCGCAGGTGTCACTGGCCTTAGAGACTTCAGTTCCATCCCCAGCTCTGTCATTCAACATCCAAGTGTCCTTAGGCAGATGTCACTTCCTCGACCTGTTTCTTCACCTTCCCTGGAGGTGACAACCTTGAATGAGTCCGAACGCTTTTCAGGGGCCAGTGACATACTCAACACTAAGCTTAGACCAAGAGGAAAATTTATCAGTTTATGAAATTAAGAAGTGGGGGATTAGGTCATGGTGGCTTCGGGCATTGCAGGATCCATGGCTTCAAAGGGCAATTTTATCATTCAGCTTAACTTTCTTCTGCATTGGGATCAGTCTGCCTCAGGCTTTCTCCCTGAGGTGGAAAGATCATGTCTGGAAGTGCTAGGCTTGCAGGCTGCTAGTTAGTTCAGCAAACCCGTGCACAACCTCCCAGGGTCTATCCAGCTTCCTCAGTTCAGCTTGAGCCGCGTGCCCAACCCTGAGCCAATCAGGAGTTAGGGGCATGGGCCCCTCTCACCTGCCAGGTTAGGTCCTATGACCACTCTTAGAAAGGGCAGTGTCAGACCCAAGCAACCAAAAGGTGTGCTGAGAGTGTAGAAAATGTTCCCCAGAGTAACAGAAATGACGCAAGGCAGCAAAATCATAGAGGTTCACCAACAATTCTGCTTGCGAGAGGCTATTATGAGCAAAGGCATGTGAAGTCACTTTGGAAAATGCTACATCAGACTCCTAGTGCTATAATTCATTAGACAGAGGACATGGAGGTAGATGTGTGGCCGCAAAGGTATTTGAATAATATGTAGTTTTAAAAATAACCAGTAAGCAATTTGTTTCTTCCTGAGTCACAGGCTGGCTGTCTCTAGGGCAGGAAAGGAGAAAGGGAGGGGACACAATGTGGGCAGCCCCAGGCGTTCCAGGGAGGAATGGAGATGGGGAGGGGGGAGGCGAGGAGCCCTGGGCCTACCCGTGTGTGTTGGGGATGGTCTCAGCCCTCCAAGGCCTTAGCCACACATGGAGCCTTGGAAAGCGGATGGGAACCTAACTCTGGGGTCAGTAAACCCCAGGCAGTTACATTTACTGGGTTCCTAAGCATAGGCAAAGCCCCACAAGAGATGCAGAGAAAGGGCTCTTAGGGTTCTTAGGGTTCTTCAGAGGGACAGAACCACTAGAAAATGAGATCATAGGTGATAGATATAGATAGATGATAGATAGATAGATGATAGATAGATAGATAATAGAGATGACAAATAGATAATAAGGTGGGACAGGGTGGCAGAGAGAGGACTTGGAGAGGGACCAGGCTGGATAGGAATATAGGTTCTGCCTCTGGTTGACCGTGAGTGACACCAGATGGGCATCTCATGTCACCCAGCTCCATTCTGGAGTGACTGCGGGGACTGAGGAATGAGCACAGTCACGGGGGAGGGGCAAAGGGAGAGGGAGGAGCAAGCTTCCCCCTGAGCAGGGAGCCCAATGTGGGGGCTTCATCCCGGGACCCCGAGATCGTGACCTGAATTAAAGACAGTTAACTGACTGAGCCCCCCAGATACCCCCATGGTTTCCATTGATTAACCAGATGACCTTGGGTAAGTTACTTAACCTTCTGTGCCTCCATTTCTCCTGAGCCCACTGAGGACATGGGTAGCACCACCGTGGGAGCTGATTGTGACGACTGAGTTCACACCCGCAGAGCTCATGATGCCATAGACGCCCATCCCAGCAGCTGGGAGGACACAGGCTGTCCCTGTCACAAGTTCAGAGAGACCAACCTGCCCAGGAGGGCTGCACAGCTCACAGATCTACCTGCTACAGAGGGTCCCTCCACTGGCCTAGGAGGCCCTAAGGGGACCGGTAACAAGGGTCTGCAGTGACTCTCTTTCGGAGGTTTAAAAATTAGATTAAAAGAATTGGATGTTGGGGATCCCTGGGTGGCTCAGTGGTTTGGCGCCTGCCTTTGGCCCAGGGCGCGATCCTGGAATCCCGAGATCGAATCCCACATCGGGCTCCCGGTGCATGGAGCCTGCTTCTCCCTCTGCCTGTGTCTCTGCCTCTCTCTCTCTCTCTCTCTCATTCTCTCATAAATAAATAAATAAATCTTTAAAAAAAATTGGATGTTGATCCTTCTAGGAACCATTCTGTCAAACTTCTTTCTCTTCTAGCAGGAAACAGCCAGCATGAATGGGGGGGTTCTTGGGAGGGGCGGGGAGAAAGAACCTGGTTCTCCCAGGGCTGGGAGCCTGTGTGCGCAGGGAGGTGGCAGTCCTGTGCAGCTCCAAGGGCCTGACCAAGGAAAGGGGAGGGAGGAGGGGGGCAACTCTAAGGGGTAGAGGGCTCTGGGAGCAAATCTGCCCTCAGGCCAGGAAGAGGGTGTACAGTAGGGACGGAACTACGTGGGCACCCCTTAAAGAGCATCTAGACCATAATGTGCTTCTTTTTTTTCCGACTTTGTCCTAATAATCAAAAAAATGTTTCCAATTTTATATAATTTACATAAGAAAGTGATAGAGTTTGCTTTTTGTAGACCTTATTTAAATCTTCTATCTTGGGGTGCCTGGGTATCTCAGTGGTTGAGCGTCTGCCTTCAGCTCAGGTCATGATCCTGGGGTCCTGGGATCGAGTCCTGCATCAGGCTCTCCCCAGGGAGCCCACTTCTCCCTCTGCCTGTGTCTCTGCCTCTCTCTCTGTGTCTCTAGTGAATAAATAAATAAAATTTTTTTTAAAATAAATCTTCTCTCTTTTATTAAGAACTTTAGGGATCCCTGGGTGGCGCAGCGGTTTGGTGCCTGCCTTTGGCCCAGGGCACGATCCTGGGGACCCGGGATCGAATCCCACGTTGGGCTCCCGGTGCATGGAGCCTGCTTCTCCCTCTGCCTGTGTCTCTGCCTCTCTCTCTCTCTCTCTGTGTGACTATCATAAATAAATAAAAATTTAAAAAAGAAAAAAAACAACTTTATCAAGCTATCATTTCCATAACACAAAATTCATCCTTTTAAAGTGTACAATTAAGTAGTTTTTAGTATATGCACTGTTTTGTGACCATCACAGTCTAATTTTGTTTTAAGATATATTTATTTATTTGAGAGAGACAGAGACAGAGAGAGCATGCGTGGGGGGGGGGAGCAGAGGGAGAGAGAGAAACCTAAGCAGATTCCGCGCTGAGCACAGAGCTCACCATGGAGCTTGATCCCAC